GCCACAAACCAACTACATTAGAATTGATTTTTTTCAATGTACAGTATTCTCCCTTTAAAACACATTAAGTCAATTTCAGAGGAAACTGTATATTGCTACTAATAACAAGCAAATAACATTTGCCATAAATTAAAAATAGTTGTGAAAATACAGAACTATCAATAAATTTTAGAAGATGAATGAATGATAAATTGATATAGCAGACCAGAGAACCAGATATATGGATAGGTAATAATTTAATTATTCTTCCAAAAGTTCATTAATTAGAGTTTCTGAGAACCTATGGTAGTGGAAAGAGAGGAAGATGGGGATTAGGATAAGAAGGGACTAGTTGAAAATCTGTTTAAGAAAAAACCTTTTTTTTAGGATGCCATACAAATGAAGGGGATCATCTGGAGGACAAGAAAGACCTGTTGGAAATTAAAAGATAATAGCAGAAATAAAAACTCACAGTGTTGGGAAAAAAAATATTCAGGAACTTTCCAGATAGAAGAACAAAAATACAAAGGGATTGAGAATAAAAGAAAAATACAGAAAATTAGAGGACTGTTTTAGGAGGGCCAATATCAAAATAATAAGAGTCCCAGGAAAAGAGAGTGGAGCTCATATGGGGAGGAAATCATCAGTGAAGTAACTTGAGGAAGAGTAGGAGATGGGGTAGAAAAGAGAGAGAAGTTATTGTCTTCTACAGGGAAAAGTCAATACATAATACTCAAATAGGTGAAACCAAACATGTTTTCAGAGTCAGGAAAATAAATTCCAAAAGAGTCAACTAAAAGATGTGCTCCCATGAAGAGTATTAGCAGCAGGAGGGAAGTTGACTACTATTTTTCTTAAATTCTGACTTTTTAAGCCATGGTACATATAATTTTAACAAAAGAGAAATTTTTTAAAGAAAGAAACATGCAAGACTATCCAAGAAATTCTGAAATAAAGAGCGCTGAGCTGGATAAGGTAGAGCTGGTATTAAAACATAAAGCTCCCTAACCAGTATTGCTCAGTGGATAGAGCGTTGGCCTGCGGACTCAAGGTTCCTAGGTTTGATTCTGGTCAAAGGCATGTACTTTGGTTGCAGGCACATGCTCGGTAGGGAGTGTGCAGGAGGCAACTGATCAATGTTTCTCTCTCATCAATGTTTCTAACTCTCTATCCCTCTCCCTTCCTCTCTGTAAAAAAAAATCAATAAAATATATATATTTTAAAAAATTTAAAAAAACATAAAGCTGCAAAAACGAAAGCAGTTTGCTATAGGTACATCCATGGACAGATGATTAGCACAAAGCAGAAAAATCAAGAAATATATACAGGTCTGTATGGAAATAAGTACATGGTAACTGTGACATTCCTGCTCAGTGTAAAAATTAACTATTCAATATCAGGTTTTGTAATAATTAGACAGCTACATAGAAAAATAATAAAAATAAATTCTTTACACCAAAATAATTTACAGCTAGGTTGAAGATTTAAATGTTAAAAAATGAAATGCTTCAATAATTTGAAGAAATCATAGGATTACACTTTGAAAACATTCTTGGAGTTTCTAAGTGAGACACAAGATCCAAAAACCACAGTAGAAAAAGTGGTAAATCTTTTTAAAAATTTACTCTATAAAACTGTGCAGATAAAAACAAAACAGAATAAGCCATAAACTATGTTAAAAGTCAAATGATAAGCTGGAAAAAATATTTATAGCACATAAGACAAAAGGGGTTAATACATTCACTAATTAAAGAACCATTATCAATCTATTAGAAAAAGATGAACATCTCAATAAAAGTGAACAATCAATAAGAAGAATTCATTAGGTGAGAATGAAAATGATTAGCATCCATGAAAATGCTAAAGATCAATATTAATGAAAATTAAAACAACACATTACTATTTTTGGCCTATTACATTGCCAGGTGTTGCAAGGATACAAATATTAATTATATCTAGGGCTGGCAAGTAGCAGATAACTGGACAACTCACATGTGGGCAGTGGGAATATGAATTAGCTCAACTTTTCTGAAATTCTCTGGTAATAAGAATCAAATGCCCTTTGGCCTAGTAATCCCACTTTTAGAAATTCAACTAAGAAAATAATCAAATTATTGTACAGAGATCATGTGTAAGAATGAACACCGAACATCAATCTTTACAGGACAGATAGACACAATTCAAGTATCTATAAGGATTTGGTAAGCTAAGTTGTGGTCTGTACATCAGATAGAATATTGTGCAGTCAGAAAGTGATGGGGGTTTATGTTTACTACATAGAAAGATGTCTGGGATGTATTGATGAATGAGGTAGCAAGTTGACGTACAAAAAAAAACATACCATGGTACATAGGTGTCCTATTTCAGCTAATATGTGTGTATGTAGAGAAAAATATTGCGGTAAAGTCAGAAAATTCACATTGTAGCAATGTTACAATGGTTAACTCTGGAATGTGACCACCCATTGTCTTTACTGCCCTCATTTTAATTTTCTGTATTTTGCAGTGTTTCTTCAATAATTGTAAAAACACAAAGCTCAAGAAAAGAGAAAATAACTTACAACATGCTGAGATAACTAGAAACCCTGAGGTCCAAAGGCTGGAATAGCTGGTCAGACAGAGCACACACACAGAGAAGTGTGAAACATGGAAATCCCACCCTGCGTCTCTGGAGAAGAGATGTAGGAGAGGCATGTTTTTCTTGCTTTAGAACAGCAGACTGTATCAGATGCTTTTTAGGGAAAGTGACTTTTTGGTTGGAGAATCTTTGATTCTTGTCACTTTGATTCTTTGATGTTTGCATAAGATTGTAATCCAAAGTAATTGCTTTAGAAGTTATAATATCTTTGCCTTTCTCTGTACTTTTAAAAATGTAGATTAAAAAAAACACAGAAAATTTTCAGTTTCTATAAGGGATTGTTTTTTAAACCATTAAAAACCCACCCTTGCCCTGCCAGCGTGGCTCAGTGGTTGAGCATTGACCTATGAACCAGGAGGTTCCGGTTTGATTCCTGGTCAGGGCACATGCCCGGGTCGCTGACTCGACCCTCCATGGGGGGCGTGCAGGAAGCAGCGGATCAATGATTCTCTCTCATCTTCGATGTTTCTATCTCTCTCTTCCTCGCCCTTTCTCTCTGAAATAAATTTTATATAAATTATTTAAAACAAACCCACCCCTCCTAAATGCACTCTGGGTTGCAACCTTCCTGGCCTCAGCTGCGAAGGACCTGAGCAATTACACAGCACTTGACGCGGCCTTTTACCCTTTTATGTTGCAGCTTGTGTGCCTCCTGACCCGTGAGAGAAACAAGAAGGAAGACAGGGCAGACATGGCTTTGATGTTCATCCAGCCACACACTGTGAATACGCTGCCTCTTTTTCAGTTCTTGGTGTACAGAATAGGCTAGAGGGGCCACACACAGCCCGGGAACTCCCACACCGCAGGGGTGACGCAGAAGCTAGTGCAATTTTTTAAGCAAGTGTTTCAATACAATGTACTATTTGTATAGGTTTTCTGTATGGAGCAGCCTATGCAGGTGAACCGTATTAAAATAAGTTAATCTCTCACTGTCCTCCTCTGAATTTCTCTCTCTCTCTCTCTCTCTCTCTCTCTCTCTCTCTCTCTCTCTCTCTCTATCTTTTGTTTATAAACATCTAAGCTTTAGGAAAAGAAATCTAAGCAGAATCTGCAGCATATTACATGCTGTACTCATCCAGCTTGGTGACTCTCCACTCCTAGGTACCATGATGCCAGGGGCATAGACTTCATAATGAGACACCATTCCCTACCCTGCCCCCATCCTCATCAACTATCATTGGAGAGAAGCCAGGAAAACCCTGGTGTGTGGATGGACCAAAAAGCAAAAAGCCCTCTTGTCCTCTTACCCACATCTTCAAATTCAAGTGACTTGGGAACTCATTGAACAAATCTACTCATATCTGTTTATATTATAGGATTTTTTTCCTTTGGTGAAAAAACATATAAAGTGAGAGACCTGGGTGCCTGTTTGGTATGTCAAAAACTAACTTCTCAGCCTGGTTGAGAAGGTCTCCTGGATGATGCCTGATGCCCAATTCTTCCACTCACTCTGGAATTCTGTCTTTTGTCATGGTTGTTCTGCACCAAAGCATGAATGACAGGTGTTTACAGGTTAAATTAATACAATTTTTACTTTGTAAATTTTGTATTTTATTGATGTAAAGTTTCCAGAGTAGAATTTAGAGAGAGACACACACACACACACACACACACACACACAGAAAGAAAGAGAGAGAGAGAGAGAGAGAGAGAGAGAGAGAGAAGCCAAGCATGTGCTTTTTCAAGTCCTATAAATTTGAGTTTGTATGTATGTCAACATCATCCTTTCAGTATTAGGCTAAACGTACTTTTCTTATATAAAAATGGGCATCTTCCAAAGTGTGTGTGTGTGTGTGTGTGTGTGTGTGTGTGTTGTTTTTATAAGGTAACACTGTCTGAGTGACCAACTATTTCATCTTAATATTTCATTCTCATGCTATATATGTGGGTATGATTTTTTCTTTATAAATAAATCATATGAGAGTCCAATGAGAAGAAACCCAATATTTTGCTATAATGCATAAGGAGTCTTTTCTTTTGTACATTAATCAATGGAAACTTCAAAAACCTTATGGTATTAACCTGAGATTTTTTTTAAAGCCTATTGTTGCAGTCAGGAAAAATGTTTTGAACACATTAAGATTCCTAAACATATCTGTGATGAGCAGTTCCTGAAGAGTTTCTGGCCCCAGCAAACATGTGATTTAAGTGAATTATATCCCAGGATTCTTCTAAAAGTTAAGGAAAGTACATATAATAAGAATTTAATATATAAGATCATCTCAGACAAATTGGAACTAAGTGCTCTTCAAAGTCTTGATTTATTTATTAAAAGCAATGAACATAATTGTAAAAACTAAAATGTCTGATTTGTACAGAAATATTAACAGCTTTTCCTCATGATTTTTACATTTAATTTTTATTATTAAGATAAAAATACTTACTCTTGAATGTATATGTTCCTGTAAGAGAGGAGAAAAAAGTAAACTCATGTAAATCCACATATGTGAGGTGATATACAAGGATTGTAAAAATTTTTAAATTTTATTACATAAAATAAAATAATAAGTCATTTTCATGAATGTTTTATAGAATTGGTCTCATTGTTTTATAATCAGGTCACTTAAACTTTATTTTAGTATATTTGCACCATTTTTGCTTTACTCCTTATAGTATAAGGTTAAAAACCATTGATACAGATTAGTTAGTAAATTTTCATCATTTGAAAATAGATTTAAAGATCAATTTTTGTGTACATTATAAAAAAGAATCTATTAAACATAATAAGAAAAACAGATTACAAGATTACAAGGGAAGGTGATTGACTTGCAGAAAACCATATGCTCTGTAACATCTTTGTATGCAGTGTGATGCAGATTATAAACATTATAAAATTCAATGAGGGAATTCCACAAAAACTTTCACAAGGCGTTGCTAGCTTTTGTCCCTCTCCTCTCTACTGCAATGTCCTCTGCCTCTCCTCCATCTCTTCTCTACCTCCTTTCCTGTTGATCCTCGCCTTCCCCATCCGCAGCAACCATACAGGCCTCCCGCTCTTTCTGAAGCTGGAAGACCCGCTCCTGCCTGCAGGCCTTCCCAGTGCTGCCTGCTCTTCCTCCAGATACAGCTCACTCCTCATCGCAGTCAGCTCTCTGCTCAAATGTTCCTTCCCAGTGAAGCCTTCCCTGACCAAGCCTGCCTCCCACCGAACTCTTCATCCTCCCCCTCTGCTTCATTTCTCTCCCTTATGCTTTGCCACTTTCTAATGTCTTTCTCTCTCCACTCCCCACTCCCAACGAAGCAAGGATTTATGCTTGCTTTGCTCTTGGCTGTAGCCCCAGGACCTGAAAGAGTGGCTGGCACATGGCAGGAGGGCAAAACATATTTGTCAAAGTAATTCATTAACAATAAAAAAGTGGGAATCATTCCAGTTAAAATTTCAGGAATAAGAGTTTTTCTCTAAAAGCCTCATGGCTCTAGAGAAGTAATGACCGGTATTAGTAACGTGATCCCTTTGCTCTCTGGTTTCCAGGCTTTGGGAATACAATAAATGTTTTCAATATAGAACACATTTTAAACCCATCCCTTAACTGTAGATGGTCTTTTCATATTCAGTGATTGAGAAAAATTCAATGATAAATCCCTATGCTGAGCTCAGTAAGTTTGAGGAACCTTTTTACTTCCATGAAGAATTGCACCCCCACTACCCCTTGCCCAATGTTCCCTCCCATTCACTGCCTTTAAGCTCACATTCTTCCCCCAATTTCTCTCCCTTTCTAATGAGGAATTTTTGTTTTTCCAGTGTGCGCTGTGGACCAAACATTAGAAAATTTGGGAGTGAAGTTGACTAAAAATCCATTTTTCTACGGAAACAAACAAGTGAGCAAGGTGATCATTTGGGAACCAAAACACATACTTTGAAGTTGAAAGAAAAGATTGTTCTTTTCCCTCCTAGAGACAACATGGAAAATTTTTCTCCCATTTTATTTATTTCAAATAAAACTTAAATATCATAAGTTAAATGCTGTGTTTAATGTAAGTGTAACATTTTATGAAAAGGAAACAGAGATCTTCAACATATTTTTTTTGTTGGTATAGTGACATAATGGTCCTTTGTTATTACATCTTTTTATTTGCTCTCTCTCTCTTTTTTTCCCTAAATCTCTCTTTTAGGATAAAAGTTTCCTAGAAGTTAACCCCAGCCAAGGACAATTCAGGAGAAAGTTAAATCCTTTACCTCTTGTTGGGATAAAATAACTCACTATGTCTACTGCCACACCTCCTACCCTCATGGATTTATTATAATTTGAGTCACAATTAACAGAAGTTTTTATGTGACTATTCCTTACAGATTAGTCTTTCATTAGCTCAAACATGATGGCATATAACAAGAAAATGAAGGAATTTCCAAAAGTGCTTTTAATTTTTATGTGGAACATTCCCTTCGCATAATATTAAGAAATACAAAATGTGGCAAACAGATTGAAAGCTATTCCTTTGGAGTTTGCCTTGCATGACTTTTAGCTTCCTTCCGGAATGGAGAAGTTTTTGTTGGAATATGAGCAGCCAAAGCACCCAAATGACTGTAAGTTAGAAGTATTCCTTCTACTAATGATGGACTTAGGAAGACACATTTATAACTAGAGGTGAAGCTAGAAATGTGTCTTCAGCTACTAAAAATTTTGGGGGAAAAACCCTTCATTCTTTTTTTATTATTATTATTGTTATTACAAAATACACAGGTCTCTAGGGCCTCTGAAGGACAGCAGGGATTTGGGGGTATTTACAACAAGAAAAACAGAAAAAGGAGGCGGCAGACAGGCTGTGCTAATTATAGCTACACTGGCATTTAGAACTCTTCTATTTTTCACTTTTCTCATACAGAGGAGAAACCTTAAATAGCCCCAAAGAGACAGAGTGACTAGATCTTTAGCAAATAACTTCCATAAATTTAGAGACTGCATTAATACAGGGTTAATGCAACTGTGTAAACACTCCTTGATGAATACGGAAAAACTTGCAAGTTTCCAATTTGTGTGCTACAGATGCAGATGCGGTGCTATGCTTCTGGATAGTTTTAGTCTTTTCTTTCTTAAGGTCTCTGAACCCTGAAATTAATGGTTAGACTGCATCTATAGTCATGGAAAAAGCCCAGGTGCCTCAGGGAAAGCAGCGAGAGAGAACTGAGGGCATTTCTCCTTCCAAGTAGGTCTTGATTGTGTGCCAACCACATGAGGGTACTGGTTAATGTGCCGATTCCTGGATCGGACCCTCAGCCATCCCATTTATTATTATTATTGTTGTTGTTGTTGTTTTGGTCTGGAGCAGAGTTTAGGAATCTGCGTGTTTAGTATACATCCTTGGTTGATTTGACGCAGGGGAACATGCACACCAAAAAAAAACACTGCCCTAACATTCCCAAGGGATTCAAAATAGTTTTCTGGATACAAATATTATTTTCTCTTTTGAAAGATACTGGGCTTCAGAGAATAGCCAAAGGTTATGAGCTCACATCTGTTACAGAACCAAACAATCTCTCTACCATCTTCTTGGAAATTAGTCTTGAATCTCACCGTGACAGCTCCTGGCGTGTTATTTACATTAACTCTGGCATTGTCATTCAACTTTCCAGATGGTTTTGTTTATCTACCCAAGTAGAAGGTGTGTTCCTAGGAGGCAAGAACTACCTATGCTTACACATATATTTTTTAAATGATTTCAACATTATCTAGCAGTCTTAATAAATATTTATTAAGCCCTCAATAAACTTATTTTAATTTTGGCTAAAATGCAACCTAAGTTTCTTAAAATTCTGGTTTAATTTCTGAAGCATGAAACCACTTCTCTCATGGATATTGCTTCAAACCCACTTATTCTAATATCCCTTGCACGGTAGACAATGGAGGCCGCACCTAATATTCATTAGAAATTGGCAACTGGGCACTTGGGCTCTGTTATTTAGCCCCAAGGAAAAGGCAGAGCCACAGTAATAGCTCTGACTGATTACTTGGCAAGGGAAACCAAGCCCTTGGGTGTTCCAGACTCTCTTTGGCCTATAAACCTGTTTGAAAACCTGTTCCCAGAATTTAAAGCTTAGCTCAATTGAGGTCAGTATTATAGTAATGTCAATAATTCTACTGCTCTCCGCTTTCAGGCAGACCAGTACAATTCATCACTGACTTTATGTTCATGGAAAAGCAACTTTTGGGAAAAGAGCTCTAACTTAAGCTACTTTATTTTGACTTTCTTTCCCTTAAAAAACAGTCCTGCCAATATTAATTTCTTTGGATTTTGTGCTTTCTAAACCTCAGCACCCTCCAGTGCCTGGAATTATTCTCTAAAACCAGACTGGTGCTGAATACACCAGATTTGGGACATCAGCAGGGCAATGACTGGAGGCTTCCAGAAAAAGATCTAATAAACCATTGGGTCTGAAAGTAATTTTCCATAATTCGGACTTATTGAAGTTCGAAGAGTAACCTCTGCCTTTAGCTGGCTAGTTGGTTTTTAAGGGGTCTGATATGGAGCTCTACTGCCTAGTGGAATATTCTGGCAGGGCCAAACTCTCTCTCTTAGGAGTCAAAAGCTTCATGAATAATACACGGATGTTCATCCCCTCTGAGCAGACAGCTCCACCTCTGAGCAGCTGTTAAGAGCACCTGCCAAAGTAATGAACTGCATCCTCTTCCCGTTTGGAGCGCCGTTCCTGGGGTTGGAGTTGGACTGATGATCGTTAGCGGTTCCACTACCATAAGATTTCTCTCTTTCATTCTAGAAGCTGAGGAAGGGAAATGGCTCAATCTAGACATTTATTAGATCAGATAGAAAAGGTGTTCATTCACATGCAGGATAACACCATTACTTCTCCCTAGGAATAAACAGTATCTTTATATTTAGAAGAGTTTTCTCTTAATATATTAATAATACAAATACAACTTCAAACTTTAAGGTTTCTGTGAATTGATTTGCTAGCACTGAACTAATTTTCAAATAGTGGAGAAATAATGAACTAGAGCTGCTCATTACATATTATCTTTAAGAATTAGCTGATCAGCCCTAGCCAGTTTGGCTCCGTGGATAGATAGAGGGTCAGCCCAGGGACTGAAGGGTCGAGGGTTCAATTCCGGTCAAGGGCATGTACCTCGGTTACAGGATTGATCCCCAGCTCTGGTCGGGGCCTGGGAGGCAACCAATTGATGTGTCTCTCTCACAATGATGTTCTCTCTGTCTCTCCCTATCCCTTCCACTCTCTAAAAATCAATGGGAAAATATCCTCGGGTGAGGATTTAAAAAAAAAAAAAAGGAATTACCTGATCATATTGAGCTCCTTATGGGCAGGGCCTAAGACTTCTTTATTTTTGTATTTTCAGCACTCATCCCAGAATGATGCTTGGCGCATCACAAGCACTAAGTAAATTATTTAGAGTTAGGGACTTAAATATATTTTCTTTTCCACACATGGGCAGAAAAATGGTTAAAGAACTGTAATACCTTAATGACCAGTAGAGGGCAATCAAGTTAGTTTTTAAACCCACTTTCAGTCCCAGTTCTCATCTGCAAAGACTTAATCTAGTCTCACTTAGTCTCCTGATTTCACTTTAATTCAGCTACCAGCCTTTTGTACTCTATCAGGACCCCCATTTTGGCCCCTACAATAGTGGTATATAAGGGGATGCACCAGAGGGTCAGACTGGCTGGTGTGCATTGATTTATACACTATAGCTCTCTCTGTTTGGCTAATTCTCAGCCTAATCAAAACCACTTGACAAGAAGTAATCCTGAAAAATAAAAGACCACAACAGAACCACTGGGTATGATGTGGGCTAGGGCAGATTTTTGGCTTTAAGCTTCATGCAGTAGAAAACTATCTATAATAATAAAAGGGTAATATGCTAATTAGACCTGACATCTTCTGGACGTCATTCCGGACATCCTTCCTGACAAAGCCAGGGCTGGAGAGAAGCCAGCCCAGGTCCTGGGTGCCTGCAGGTGGCTAGAGGAGGGAAGCAGCCTGGGTCCCAGGTGCTGGAAGGAAGCTGGTGCCAGCAGCCTGGGGAAGGAAGGCCTACACTTGCACGCATTTTGTGCATTGGGCCTCTAGTATCCTATATAATCCTATATAATAAAAGGTTAATATGCAAATGGTCATGACACCCTCATGCCATAATGACCGATCAGCAGGAGGCTGCGTGCACAGCAGGCACAGGTGGGTGGGGCTGCATGTGCGGTGAGGCCGGGGGACGTGAGGCTGCGTCCCCCGCCGGACGTGACGCGTTATTGTTTATTTATTAATAAATTGATATATTATTTTCATATACATTTTACTAATTTTCTTTCATCTCTGACACTTCTATTATAGAGAAAGGGCAAATAGCAATATTAAAATATTCCCTCTAATTAATTCCCTCTTAATGTGCATGAATTTCATGCACCAGGCCCCTAGTATACAATAAAATACCAATTTCATGTAAAAGAATCACCCTTAACACATGTCCACATGTATGCATATAGACAAGATCAGAAGAAAATGCAAATTGTGGTTACTAATACATGGTTTAGTGAGGCGTTAATACACGGAATAGCAAGGGTTTTTATCTTATTCATGTTTTCTTATTTTTTTCAGATATTTATAGTGCATATATATTTCTTCTATATATAAAAAAAATATTATGTGGCACCTCCCACCAACAATTTAGGAACGAGGAGGAAGGCATGACTTATTTTCCAGAAACAAACTTTAACAGGGCCTGAACACTTTGCCAGTGTTCGCCAGTCTCCCCTCTGTGGGAAGGTGAAGGTCATCTAGAGAGTCATGGACATTCCACTGACTTGATTATCCCGTGTCCCCCAGAGGTCACGGAGCCACATGTTGTCTCACACATTCCTCCATCTATATGGAGCAGGCAAGTAACAACAGCTTTAAGGGGGGACTTTTCTTCTGCATTTCACATTTTCTTTTCTTTTCCTTAGAGAGGGAGAGAAAGAAATATCAACGTGAGAGTGAAACATGGATCGGCTGCCTCCTGCACACTTCCTTCTGGGGATCAAGCCCGCAGCATCAGCATGTGCCCTGACCCGGAATTGAACCCTGATCTCTTGGTTCCTGGGTCAATGCTCAACCGCTGAGCCACACTGGCTGGGACATTTCACTTTTCGATGTTGCATTATTCTATTTCCACAGAGCCCTGAGCTTTCTCCTGTGTTATTTTCAGTCTCTTTGCACAGGGGGAAAAAGTCAATCAGTGTTTCTGGCATGCCAGCTTTTTATAAAGAGGACGCAAAGCAGAGCTTCCCGCCAGTCCCATAAAACCCAGGATTTACGTGAGATCTTTCATCTGCATCCAGTTAAAATGTTCCCTGCTAGGCAACTGAGGGCGCATGGAAATCATCATTGGAAAAGGCCTTACTGTAAGGACTGGACGCAGAGGCTCAATTGTTGCTTCAGCTCCTCCTCCTTCTCATAGGCCTCGAGGACACTGTGCGCTTTGTCATGGTGATAGCAGTAGATTTTATAAATATCTTCCAGCGGCCCTTTAATCTGCAAGAACACTTCTCCTGACAAATGTAAAACAAAGGCAAAATGGTATCAGGTCAGACCCAAGGGGGACTGCACATACTTATTATTCAGCAACACTAACGAGTGTTGGTTGGGTACCAGTTTATGCCCGGGGTCATTCAGAAGCGGTGGAAAACATTAGTGACCTTCCCCCCTTTCCTTTCCCTTCTCGCCCCTCTCTTTTCCTCTCCCTTCTTTTTTCCTCCCTCCCTCCCCTTCTTTTATAAAGGGAAGGATAATGAGCTTAGGGGAGGTAGGCGGCCAGTGAAAGCTGGTTTTCTCAGCGGTGACAGTGCATCTGAGTGGTGTGCAGTAAGCTAGCGAAAGACACCCTTTTACCCCCCGTCTGTGTGGGTTCGGATTGGGCTGTGCTGCCGACGTGGACAGTTTATGACTTGGACAATGTATTCTTACCCTGCTGAGCCTATTTCCTCACTTATAAAATTGAAACAATAACAGATCCAACTTCATAGGGTCCTTTATTAAAATTAAAGACACAGTGTGTGTGTGTGTGTGTGTGTGTGTGTGAAGTTCAGAGTCCAGTATTACATGGTAAATGCTCAACATGGAGCGGCTATTGTTATGTATTAAAAGTATGGGAAGTGACATTTTAGGCACTAAAATGACATTTTCATATGTATTCCACCAACATTTCCTGAGGTTCTCTGAAAGGCAAGCAATGGAGTTTAAATAAAGTATTTCCTTAAATGTTATAATAAAAAGATTTGGCCATTATTTCTGTTAAAATAATGGACATAATAAATAATGTTAATTGGATACTATAAGCAAGGGTTATGACTGTCTTCTTCATAAAGTAACTTGGGCGGATTGTGCCCCGGCATTTAAGAAATTATTTTGATACTATGATAAAATTGGGTCTCTGACAGCTCAAATAGGTATTGAACAATGGTTTGACTTAATCACTCACTCCTTCACTTAAAAATGTGTATTAAGCATCCACTACCCTACCCTGCACCTTGGTAAGTTGATTTGAGATACACTCAAAAAAATATGTGATAGGGTCTGCTCTCAAAAGCATTGCAGATTTGGGCTTGATAATGATTTGGGTTGAATTGATTGGGAGTGATATGGACTTACTAGTCTGGCCCTATTATACTAACAACAAGTCACTCTTCCTTCAGAAATAGAAGTGCCCTTTGTATTTTCAACATGTTTTGTTCATATTAACGGCTCAACTCCCTGTATATGTGGAGATAAGAGGTTATTTATCCTTATTAAATAAGAATAGACAAATCTGAGTTTAAAAGAAATAAATGATTTTTCCAAAGTCCTAGCAACCTAAATTCCTAGTCAAGTACTGCTATGGCTGGTGTTAGTGGAATAATTAGTGTAGATATTATGATTATAGGTAGCAGGCAATTTATTCATTTTGTGTTCTCAAATTGTCATTTGATCTTCATGTTGTTTCTTGTTGGCAAAGCCAGGATTAGAGACCATATTCTTCTCTCTCTCTCTCTCTCTCTCTCTCTCTCGCTCTCTCGCTCTCTCTCTCTCTCTCTGGCATTATCCCTCCACACATCAGAGCTTTGCTGGACACTGTACAAAGTGATGCAGTTAGAAAGAATCAGAAATCACTGTCACGTAGCATTTGTGTGGTGACTAGGGGAATGACTTTATAAAATTCTTTCCACTCAATTCTATAATTTTTAAAATAGAAATAAGTAATAGTATCTCTGGAGATGAGTTTGAGAATTAAATGGGATGTAAAATGTGCCTAGCATTGACAAGTTGCTCAATTAACATCATTCATCTCTTAATGTTGCTCCACTATCTCTAGAATTAAAACACCAGTCCTTTACTAATTTATATCCAGCCAATAAAAGGCTTTTCTTTCTTTTTCATTATATGGGATTTCCCTAAGATTGTAGACTGTGTGTGTGTGTGTGTGTGTGTGTGTGTGTGTGTGTGTGTTGGACTTCAGAAACTTAGCAACTGTGAGAATCTTTGGAACTGAAGGTATGAAGAATTCTTGTTTTGTCCCTGGGATTGTACTGAGTTGATCATTCTAGCAACGTAGGTCTTGTAGATTTGCTCTTCAAGACAGCAACACACACAGTAAGAAATAGAGTAGTTATAAGAAGAGGAAATAAAATAGGATAGTGACTAAATTTAGTTGGGCAAAAGATGCGGAGAGCCTCCCAGGGACAGAGCCAGGTGGCACATGGGAGTGAGGCCTTGGGCTGGCGGAGGAATTAGGCCCAGCAGTGGGAGTGAGCACCAGGCTCTGAGGACGCTCAGGAGCGAGTGAGGAGAGAGGCTCTGAGTGTACACAGCCCAGCACAAGATGAAGTTATAAACATGTGTGTTTGCTACAAAGCAGCATAGAAACAAAAGAAAGAAAGAGGTAAGGACACGCATAAATCCACACTAGAATCAAGTCAGAAAGTCAAAAAACAAAGGAAAAGACATTTATTTCACACACAATGAAACCATTAATTGTAAATTCCTTTGTATTTTCTTTAGCACAGTGGTCTAGTTTGAAAGAATGTATATCTCCCCTTAACAGCAGTCAAAGTTTCTATTCTTTCCCAAGCAAAATTCTGTTGGGGCTCTAATAATAATTATTAAAGTTAAAAGGTATTTAAGCACGCTAATTGAAAGCCATTTATTCACCCAAAGGCCACGTACAGCTCTGGCGGGCAGAATATTTGATTTCCTCCCAGCCCTACCAATGTATTCTGCTTCATAACAGTGCAGATGAAGCGATGTGTCTTGCAGCAAGAAATGATTTCGTTTCCACGGCAACATAACTGGCGGCTGCGTTTCTTTAGTGGTGAAGGGCAACTCCTCTATCTAATGCATGTGGGTTTGAAGGGATGATTAGAAGCGGTGAAGGGACTGAGCCAAGACCAGGGAAGGTAATTTCACTTCTGGCTGCCTGTCACAAAGGCACCAGCATCCTCTAAAATAAATATGACTGTCGTGTGCTTCTTTTTAAAAATCCTACAACCCGACATTCTGCACTAGCTGGCATGCAAAAGGAGGGAAAAAGGAATGCGCCCTTTTAAATGTCCTATTTATCTCCTTTAAAAACAAGTCCCAAGGATACTGAGTGCATTTTCTGTCTTGGTATCATTACTCCTGTGTTACATGTTGCTCCCTTCATTAATGTAAATATATTCATGTTCCTCTTGCTGCCCACCTCTTTTAAAAAATATATATTTTATTGATTTTTTTACAGACAGGAAGGGAGCAGAATAGAGAGTTAGAAACATCGATGAGAAAGAAACATCAATCAGCTGCACACCTTCTACTGGGGATGTGCCCGCAACCAAGGTACATGCCCTTGACCGGAATCGAACCTGGGACCTTTCAGTCCACAGGCTGATGCTCTATCCACTGAGCCAAACCGGTTAGGGCAGTGGTTCTCAACCTTCCTAATGCTGAGACCCTTTAATACAGTTCCTCATGTTGTGGTGACCCCCAATTTCATTGTTACAAATTGAACATAATTAAAGCAATAGTGATTAATCACAAAAACAATATATAATTATATATGTGTTTTCCGATGGTCTTAGGCAACCCCTGTGAAAGGGTCGTTCGACCCCCAAAGGGGTCGCGACCCTCAGGTTGAGAACTGCTGGGTTAGGGCAAGGCCCACCTCTTCTTTACTTCCAGACCAGCATGTTCGTGCCAGGATGTGCCAGACCAAACCATGAGGCCTCTGAATTATCCTGACCTCACTCCAAGATGAACTTCGCCTCAGGGAAGTAAAACAGGGTTAACCAATGATAAGCAAGCAATCTTCTTGCCATGTCCGTGCGAAGTTTCAGAAGATGCTGCATTGGCCTGCAGCGGCCAGGTCCAGAAGGACCTTGTGTATACGCAAGGAGTGGGAACTCCAGCCTGAGGTGATGGAGAGACACTGGTGGGTTTTAGGCAGCAGCCTAACACAATTGGACTGTCTTTCCGAGAGATTAGTCTGGGACTCAGTCATATGAAAGTTGGAATTTGGGAAAGAGTTAGTGAGACGGGAAAAGAGAAACCAATGGAAAGGCTTCCATAATAATACAAGAAGTTACCAACGAGGGCTAAAACAGGAAGTTATAGCAGTTAAGAGAAAGTGCTTGATTACCAACAACCATCTTTCAGATTCTGGTTTTACCGTTTACTCTTGTGACATTTGGGAAACTGACTTGACTTCTCTGTTTCTCAATTTCCTCATTGAGAAATTGGGATAATAACAATTATAGGGTTGTGTGAAGATTAAATGAGTTAAAGTATTTGGTGTATTGATATCAGCAGCTTGAATGTGCAAATGCTGAATAGATGTTAGCTATGACCACTAAAGCAAAAGCAGGGAGGATGGAGAAGAGGGAAAGAAAGTGGATGTTAAGCATGTGAGAGATGAAGAGGGTAAATTAGGTGTATCTCAGGATTCTGGTTTCAGTGACTGTGTGGATGGACAATGCTGACAAGATAAGGAGAGAGTTTAAGTGGAAAGATACGAGTTTAATTTTAGGTGGACTGAGTCTGAATCACCCATAGTATATTCAAGTGGCAGAATCCTTGTGGACTTGTATACTGGACTCTGGGATTCTGGGAAAAAAGATCTGGGACAGAGATGTAAATCTTGGGTAGTAGGATTGGTATCAGCAGAGCCAAGGACAAAATAGTGAGAAAGGCTGCAAAGAGACCGAGCAAGTTTGCTGGTAAAAGAGCCTGCTGTTGCCCCCCAGTGTCAGCACTCCCCCTTCTCTCTAGCAATGGAATTTTTGCTGCCCTAATTAAAAACTACATTTACCAGCCTGCCTTGCAATAGTGTGGCCATGTAATTAAAGTCCAACTTTATGGGATATAAGTAAAAGTGTCCTGTGATAATAGCCAGGAACTTGCTTTAAGAGGCAGCTAGCTCATCCTTTCCCCCTCCTTCGTCACACTTTCCGCCGTTCTGCTGCCTGGAACTTGGATGCTACCTTGTCCATGAAGCTCTGGGGGCTGTACCCCTTCCCTCCACCCTCCCCTACCTTCCCTCTGA